CCCTAAACCCTAAACCCTAAACCCTAAACCCTAAACCCTAAACCCTAAACCCTAAACCCTAAACCCTAAACCCTAAACCCTAAACCCTAAACCCTAAACCCTAAACCCTAAACCTAAACCTAAACCCTAGAACCCTGAACCCTCAACCAAGTTGAAGATTTTGAGCGCGCACGTCCGCGACCACTTGGATGGCAAGTTGCCGAGATTTCATGATGTGGCCACACTCGCGCGATGGGACCATGAAGATGCTGGGGAAAGAGACGGCGTTCAGGTGGGACAGTTTTGGTACAACTTAAACCGCTCAAAGTGCGACGAGCGACTGAAGCGTTCGAGAACATTCGATGAAGACTCCAACAATGCGCTCCAGTATCTCGAGACATGTGTATTTCGCGAAGATGGCTGTGCACGCAGGTACACAGCGCACGACGCGCGCAAGTTGAAGATTTTCAGCGCGCACGTCCGCGACCACTTGGATGGCAAGTTGCCGAGAGGGAACGATGTGGCCACACTCGCGCGATGGGACCATGAAGATGATGGGGAAAGAGACGGCGTTCCGGTGGGAAGGTGGTGGTACGACTTAACCCGCAATATCCGGTTCCAAGAGCGACTGAAGCGTTTGAGAAACTTCGATGAAGACTCGAAGCACGCGCTCGAGTATCTCGAGACGTGTGAACCAAGAAAAGCCAAGGCTTTACCAGGCCGAAACGCTAAATAAGGCTGATGAAGAGATGAATGAGCTGATGATAATTACGGTCTCCAGGCGAATAGAAAAACATTGTAATTCATCTGTCGATACATCCAAGCGAGGACGGGACGCGCACAGATGACGGAGCGAGCGATGCAAATCACTCACGGTGATGTCATTGAATAAGAAACTACCTACCGTATTGTAATTGGTTACCTACAAGAACTAAAAACCGACGTCGTGCACGAGGGCGGCGTAGTTGCCTTCTCCGTCGACTGCTTTCGCTTTCGCGGCGCGAGTGCACTCCTTCAGCATGAACGGCGGAAGCTCCAGTCCAAACGCCGCGTACAACTGCTTGCGGACGTCTTTCGTGGCGCTCGTTGGAGCATCCCAACAATTTGATGAAAGCAGATGCGTTGCGTCTTCGTCGTCACGTGAAGGCTCATGCAGAGACAACAGAGCAAGATACATGTGCTCAGCTGTGGCCGAGCGCACGCGTGGGAACTTGTTCGCGAGGAGCGCGAGCATACCGAGCGTAGAAGATTTGTGTAATCCCTCATTCGCCGAGCGCACAAAGTGAGAAAGACACGCGCATCCTGCGAGGAGCTTTGAGATGTCGCGACTTGAGTATAACTCGGCGCGAACGGCGTCGATGAGTTCCACAGGTACGTTCGAACCATCGACGACGCCTCTGGACATGAGCACATCGCACACGCGCAGCACTGGGATCGTTACTCGATCGTTGTGCTTGTTCTCTCGTAGAGTCTTCACGATCGATTGCACAACGAGCGTAGGAACTCCGTCGTATTCACTCATCGCTCGTAGCAACGCATCGGTGGAGAACCGAGCCAAGCTGTCACCCAAACTCCCAGCGCTCAAAAACCACCCACTCAGTACGTCGTATGCGTAATCCTCCACGCAGAGCATCGAACGCATCGTGTCAAAAAGGCTAGCTGCGTGCGAGGCATCGAGAGCGCCCTCGACGGTCTCAGGAAGCACATCGCGTAAAATGGCTAGCCCACATGGTGCCTGGTACAGCGCACGCACTGTTACGCCGTAAGCTATTCGTGTCTCTTGTCGGTTTGGCTCTCCTCCCCGAGCAAGCAAAGTCAGCGTCACGAGTGCTTGACATCGCACTCGATCTATTTTTTCGAACGCCTGTTTCAAAACGCCAGATATGACCTGTCGACAACGATGCGCGTCGACTTCGACGACGCGCGATTGAATTGCACCGATCACGAGAGGGAGCGCCTTCATCGCAGCTTCACGCAACCAAGATCCGACATCGCCGCGGTTGTCCGTGGTATAATCGGATAAGCACGTTAACAGCGCATCGACGACGTGCTCACCAACGAATGCAACGTCTGCGCCACTCGTCACGCCACCTGAATTACGAAGCACAGTGCATGTCAGCTCTGCAAGGCTCATAACAGCGCACACTCGAGTTTCAACATGAGAGTCTGCGACAGTCTTGGCGAGACTATCAATGATGACTCGCCAAGATGCTACGCCATCTACGCTCCGCCCCATGAGAACTGATACGGGTAGACCACCGAGTAAACGCGCAGAGCCGCGACGAACGACGTGAGAATCTGATTGCAAGAGTGCGACGTGATTCATCACGAGACGACGCATGTCCGCAGCGTTATCAACGGGAAATCGTGCGTCGGCGAGTGCACAAATTGCGCTTGAAGCTGCAGACTGAACATCTTCGCTGGACGACTCCATACTCGCTTCCGCGATAGCAACCAGAGCATCTCGAGTATACGCATCCATCGACACACTTCCGACCGCTCGTGCAACGCATTCGATGAGTCGACACGTCGCACTTCGTATCAATAATCCTCCTTCACCGGTGAAAATCACCTCATTACCAATCTCGCTAATAAGATTGAGCACCCTTACGTTCACATCGCTGTCAAGACGCGTAATCATGCGACTGGTCACAAGCAGCATTTCGCCCAGCGCAATTATAGAACCGTGGCGTGAGGGCAAATCCAAACTTCTCGTGCGTGCAAGTACTGTCTCGACGCCGACTTCAGCAACCCATTCGGGGTCCAGATCCCCTAGAATGCCGATTGCGCGCGCGGCGAGACGCCGAGTTGAACACTCCCAGTGTGTGAGCTTCACATCCAGTACGTGCTCCATTAGAGGACGGCGATACTCCACAAACTGACAAACGAATGGAGCCACATCTAAAGCGGCTCGCGTCTTTGATCCGAGTGAAAAATAATCCGCAAAGTTTACGATGTCGATTCCGTGAGGAAACTTACCGAGTCGTCCAACGGCTTCCTGAAATGCAGCCGACGCCGCACGTCGGCAGTTGACTTCTCTGTCGAAACAAGCGACCATTAGAAGCGTCGGCGCAAGCCCATGTACGAAAGGCGCGAAATCATCCGGCGCATACGCGCGTGAAAGCGCCCAGCACACGTATGCAGCGGCGTCGCGAACGTGCGCTCCAATTGAGTGCGCTCCTCGACGAACGTCGTAAGTCAACGCCTGCACACACAACGGAACCACCTCGGAGAGTCTGTTCGGTAGAAGTAATCCTCTTCTAGCCAACTCTGCCAGCGCTAAACAGGCGCCGTGCCATGTGGAATCGTTCTCGATCACTGAAAAGCACTCCAATATTGCTCCTACGATTTCATCGGCGAAGTCTTGCGGCAGACGCGAAGCGATTCGTCCTAGCGCCTTGGCGGCACCCCAGCGGACGAACGTCTCAGAGTCCCGCAAACCACGAAGGCATATCTCCACGATTCCATCAATTGCGACATGAACATCTTCACCATCGTCATCGTCATGAATCGCAATCGCCAATCTTTCCTCATCATTGACGTTGCTCGAGCCTCTGATATTATCTTCTAATCGACGAGATCCTCTGTCGTATCGCCAAGACACTACACGAGGTTTCAAGAACGCCAGTCCCACACGACACGCCAGTTTTATACTCAGCTGTCGTATCAAGGTTGAATCTTTCGCCAGATTTGTCTCACGAGTATTCTCAACGTCTTGCCATGAAGACTCAGCGAATTCCAACAGCGCATCCCGTCGTCCAATTTTGTATATAGCCGCCAAAGTGCGAAGTATGCCGGGTACCAAAAACATCGACTCGCTCTCCACATTGACGTCCCCACGAAGCGCCGAGCTCGACCATGACATGAAATCACGCAGGACACTCTTCATGTCGGGACGAGTGACGAGCTTCGCAAGCGTCTGTGCCGCGACATCCCGACACGCTCCTGGGTCTCCTAGAAAGAGCTTGCATTCGTACATCAGAACCCGTACGACTCTGGGAATTGTGTTCACATCGCTCGACGTCGCGTCCATGTCGCTATCGATGGTCAGTAAATCGAACGGAACCAGAGCGAGAAGCGAAAGCCACGCGAGTGTGACGCGCTGCACCTCCCAGCTGACTCTTCGACTCCTGTCGAATGTTCGGGCGTCTCGCAGCATACGAACCGCGGGCTCTAGATACTTAGTAGAGTTGGGATAGAATCGTACACACGTTTTCCAACCTCGAAGGCTCGATATCGCGTCCAGCGCCTCACAACATCTCAGGACGCGTCTCGAGTGTGTTCGCTCGCTCGACACCTCTTCGGCGACAGTCTTCGTCAAAGGGCTTATGAGTGCCTCCAACAGCGGATCCAATAGCACCGCCCGCTCTCTGTAACGCTCCAACGTTCGCATGAACGCCATCAACCGTGTGCGCGTATTCGACGTTCGATGATTTTCGTCTTCATCTTCATCTTCATCTTCATCATCTTCTCTAGAGTCAACGCACTCGTTGACGAACTCCAAGAGTGCTGCGCGGTCGGTATCGGCGATGCGTGAGAGTTCGTTCACATCACAGGATGTTGACGCACCGATACCGCTCGATGCGGCGCGTTCGGACATGCGCGATGACTACGACGAGAGCGACGACGAGTGCCGTGCCGATAGTGGCTCTCTGGGTGTCTTTCTCGCGCGCGTTGACATTACACTCATCACCGCACTCGTGTGTGTGATGAGGCGAGGGAACTAGTATCATAGAAAATATTACATCGGATTTCTCCGTCGAAAACGTCGAGAAGAAGTTCGCAATTGCTCGCGCGTGCGTTCGTCCCCGCGCGCGTCCGCGAGCTTCGGCGGCGGCGTGGGACCACACGTCAGTAGAACATCATGCGCAAGATGAAGAAGGACACGATCACGAACATCACCACTTGCCAAAAGTATCCCTGCCTACGAGCATTGTCGATGACGCGCTGAAACGCTCGCGCGGAGTCCCGAAGTGTTTCTCTGACGCGAGCAAATTCATCGGCAGTGTCGTCGAGCAAAAGATGTTGCCTTGACACTTCTTCGTTGATGTCTATCGTCACGTTCTTCAGCGCGCTCACGCGCTCGCTCATAAACTCGAGCGATCGATCGTTCTCGCGTTCCATGTCGTCTCGACTCGCCCCAGCGGAAGCGCCCGCGGTGTTCCTGCGTTTGAAACGAGCGAAAAAGTCAGTCTCAAGTGTGTTTGGTCTGCTCTAATATCACTCGGTCGCGTTCGTCCATGTCCATCGTCGTCGCCCAAGATCGAGGGCCACGTCGTTATCGCCCTCGTCATCGACGCTCGCACCTGTTGTAGCTCATGGCAGTTCACCGTCCGCGTCGCCCTGTACGGAACGAACGTGCGCTGTTTCACGGGTGGTCCTCAGTAATTGAGGCTCAGTACACGTCGCAGCCCATGACCACGATAGAGGAGGCGGTGGAGATCGCCCTCGAGTGGTCGAGAAGCGTCTTCGCCTCCACAAGCTCCAGGCGAGAATCCATCGTAGCCGTGGACGAGCGATGTATCGGCAGAGTACTCGCGAAAGATGTGAAGGCGCATGTGCCGCATCCACCGTTTGCGGCGAGTGTCATGGATGGCTACGCCGTGAACGCGCGAGAGACGATCGAACAGACTGAGGAACAAAATATTGAATTCACTGTTCTCGCGAGCGAGGTCTCTCGCGCTGGACCGGTGAGCACTGGACGCTTGAAGCGAGCGATGAAGGCGTTGGAGTGCGCGTACGTAACAACAGGCGCAGCTCTACCTAGAGGCTGCGACTGTGTCATTCCGAGTGAGCAGTGCGACGTACATTCGAACGGAACGGTCGTGTTTGTTGAGAGAGCGGCGTTGGTGGCGGGCAAATGGACGCGAGTGTCTGGGAGCGACGTCGCTGGACAAGGCGAGACGCTCGTTCGGCGCGGTGAGCAGCTCACCGTGTTCGATATCGGAGTGCTCAAGTACGCGGTGGATGAAATCGCGATTTTCAACCGACCTCGAGTGAGAATATTGAGCACGGGAGATGAATTAGTGGCGAGTGTACGCGACGTGCACGATAAATTTGGTTGCATCATCGACACGAATAGCCCGATGCTAGGCGCAATGTGCATGGACAGCGGATCAGAAGTCATCTGTAGGGACGTCACGCAAGATGACTTGGAACGCACCACGACGTTCTTCCGTTCGGCCCTAGCCGATGAGGGGTGCGATGCTCTTATTACATCCGGCGGGGCGTCAGTTGGCGATAGAGATTTCATAGAAGCAGTCATCACGTCACTCGGAGGAGAAATTCACTTCAGGCGTCTTGCCATGAAACCAGGGAAGCCAACAACGTTCGCAACGCTGTCGCGATCGGATGGATTACCGCCACTACTCGTGTTCGCTTTGCCAGGTAACCCCGTAAGCGCGGCGGTGACGTTTTCCCTCGTCGTCGCCCCTTGCATTCAAGTGCTCAGTGGATCGATAAGCGAGCCGAAGCTTCGACGTATTCACTGCGTCCTGAATGAAACGCTGACGCTCGATCCAGAGCGTCCCGAGTACCACCGCGCGGTATTGGAATGGAATGGTGCCACGCACCCGTCTCTACCGATCGCACACTCGACAGGTCGGCAAATCAGTAGTCGTTTACTAAGCATGCGTGGTGCAGATGTCCTCGTGGAGCTACCGAAAGGACCCGGGGTTGTTGAGAAGGGTGCCATAGCGAGCGCGCTCGTATTATCTGACTTTCGTCGCGCGAATTTTCACATGGAAAAGATCGCGACGCCAAAGAGAGATGTTGGACATGCCCCGTTCGCCACATTTACGACTCGAAACGACGCACGTGTTTACGTGCTCGGAGCAAACGGGCGCGTGCTTGATTTGAAACGGTCAGTTGGGTTGGAAGAAAATGTTCGCTCGAGTTGCCGCAGAAGTGGAAGTTCCAACGATGTTGCAGACGTTCTTTCGGCGCCTCTTTCGATGTACTCAAATAACGAAATTCACGTCGCCGTCACGGACGATCTACCATCCCAGGCGTTGTTTGAAAGCATCGAGAAGACTGCGAAGCGACTTCGCATCGCTATGTCGAACACGTCGATTACTCACCGCACGTTCGCACGAGTCGGTCTAGCTGGGAATCCATCTGACGCATACGGTGGCAAGGTCGTCGCTGCATCCATATCGAACTTCTGTGCAGAGGCAATTTTGACGCCGATGGTCGCCTCAAAGCGCGTGTCTTTCGTCTTGGGGCCGTACGATGCGAATGATTACGATTCATTTGACGATATGGCGTCGCACGTCTCGTCGCACGGTGTCGACGGCGGAGTCCGCTTGCTCAAGGCGCTTTGCGAAAACGTGAAGCGTTATTGCGTGGAGACAAAACAGATGATCGATTTCTCGTGTGGTTTCGAGCTCTCATACGCGAGTACGATTCCAGAGCAGCTTGGACTGAGTGGTTCAAGCGGAATAATAATTGCTGCGCTTAGGTGTCTCATGCAACACTACGGGGTGAAAATGTCAATCGATGAACAAGCTTCGATCGCGCTTCGCGTCGAGCACGATGTTGGCATCAATGCAGGACCAATGGATCGAGTGCAGCAAGTGTACGGTGGATGTATGTTCATGGACTTTTCATGCCCAAAAGAGTGTGACAGTTCAACGCTTATCGTGCATGGCGAGTACACGCGACTGAATGCCGATTTGCTCCCACCTATGTATCTCGTGTGGCGAGGAGAAAGCGCGAGCCACAGCGGGAAAGTTCACTCGGGCCTGAAAGAGCGATGGACCAATCGGCATACGAACGAGGACAGCGAAGTCGCCGTTTCGATGGGGCGACTGGCGTCACTCGCGGAGGAAATATTTGAACTTTTCAAAAAGGGGAAGAAAATCGATGTAAATGAACTCGCGGATCGAATGAACGAAAACTTTCAGTTACGTCGAACGTTAATGGGCGATAAAGTTATTAGCGAGGCAAACCTGCGAATGGTTCGCATGTGTCAGGAAGTGGGCGGCGGTGGCGCAAAGCTAGCGGGAAGCGGGGGCTCGTGCGTTGCTGTCTGCAAAAACGAGGCCACTGCACAAGCGTTGCGTCGCGCGTGCACGGAGAGTGGCTATGCGTATGAACAATTGAAATTCGTGTGAGGTAGGTAGTTACTACGTAGTATTTGTTGCACGGTTCCGGCATGTTTTCATTCATTCACGAAATATTGGTACCGATGCTATTACACCCCGAGCACTCAATTGCACATGATGCAACTCTACAGGACTCTAAGTTTGCCATGTGATGAGGACAATGGCCAAGTTATCGCCGATCTGAAGTGGTCTGTGTACGGCTCCTTCGATATCTTTGCTAACACCGTCCTCTTCGTCGAGCCATCGGCGCTTGATTGACTCCGTCCATGCCTGTTTGACTATTCCCTCCTGAGCTCGCGCGGCGACAACACTGACTTTTTTCAACCATTCAGAAGACGGAAGCGACCGCGATACGTTCCCCACGCCGCACTTTAAAGCCTGTCGAGTCGAGAAACGAAGCTCGCCACGATCATCGATCGCGAAGGCTTTCGCTGAGACCGCATCGAGCGCGGTCGTCAACAACCCCAGAGATGACATACTCAGAAGCGGCTTTCCGTGCGTCCCTCGCGCTGGATCGAGCCATCCGGCACCTGTTCTTCGCTGGGACGCATACGTGCTCACATCAGGCGCTATCTCCGCCGTCTCGCTGGAAGAAATCATGGACGCCGCGTTCCCACCGAAATGACCGTCGTCGGAAAAGAACTGCTCCAAGGCTTGCTTAAACTCAAGTACATTTGTCTCCTCATCGGAGTCACTTTCTCCGTCGACGTAAGAGTCTCGTGAAACGCTGACACCGCCCACTAGCGAATCGAGATTCGGAAGCACTACGTCAATACCAATCTCTGCTATGTTTGCCTCGGAGACGAGGCACAAATATGTCGCGATGACTGGCTGCATGTACAAATTCAAACGTCTTCGAATCTTGCGACATGTCGTCGTGATATCCAGGCTCGGCAACTCGTCTGTGACGATCACGTAATGTTTTGAAATCCGACGGTTCGTATCCATCTGCCTCAACGTCGTCACCACGAGCTCGACGGAGGACACTGGGATAACCTCGACGTGTGCGTGTATTGCGTGTACCACCGACTTCACTATCCCGATGACAGGAGAATCGCTCGAGCACAAGACAAAGCACTTAGATTTGAACTCTCGGTCTTTCGCCGAATGGAATGAAATACTACGTTCACTCTCCAATCCACGTGGCTCCTGAATTTGCAACGCTTCCGTGTCCTCGAACGGACGCATCACGAGCGAAGCATCTGAGACTTGTATGAGTCGAAGCGGCTTGTTCACACCTTTGAACATGTACACTCCGAGATCGTGACAAAATTCCACCATGTAACCTATCTTCATTGCCTGTTCTAGCGTTTCATAGTCGGTCAACACTTGACCGCCGCGGGCGGCATGCGCAACGCGCGCGCTGGTGTTCAAAATAGGCCCAAAATACTCAGTTCGCCCTGTGCGCGCACAGGGTCGGATGTCACTGCAAATTCCACTGCAAACGCCCATGGAGACGCGGAGGCCGACGAAGACGTCCATTCGTCCATTACGCACTCTTTTTGCGCTTCTGTGTGCCAGTAACTTCTTCGGCCAATCGAGTCTCATGAAGGTTGTCTGTGCGAACAGACACCATTTGTAAGCGTCAACAGGGTTATGAAACGCGAGTAAAAACTCACCGTCTCTCTCTCTGCATTCATACCCGTTGTAAAGCCGTAAAGTCGCGCGTACTGTTGCGTTCAACATTTCTATGGACTCGTCCATAATATCTTTTAGGGCCGCTCTGAGTGATTTGAGATTTTCAACGTAAGTGTACACAATGGTCACTCTCATATCGCGCAAGCCCGGCGAGTCAAAGTACGAGGCTTCCAGCTGCCGCACGGTTCGCAATCCTGGAAACAGCATCAGACGCGTCGATAAAGAATTTGGCACCACCTGTACGAGCTCAGACTGCAGTAGAGTAGAGTGTCGATCCTCTTTGCGGTTCAACATTTTCATGAGATTCTTCTTTGCTGCCAGAGTTTGACGAAAAGCTGGATACATCTCAACCGTACCGCTCTCCGTCGAATCCGTTGATTGGCTCCTCCGAAGTCGTAAAGTCGCGGCCTTCGTGGCTGGAAGAGGCGCTTCGTCTTCCACAATCGCGCCCAATTCTGCCCTAAGGTCAACGGCGACGTGTTGCTTTTCGTCGACCACGGCTAAATCCTTCCTGCTCAGCGCGAGCTCGTGTCTGCCCATGTGCAGCGCGTAGAAAGCCTGAGCGGCGTGCTTTCCTTGATCAGTCAATGCCGCCATGGTATCACTGGATATGACCGTTTGTCCGCCAGTTGCACAATCGGACACTGCGTGAGCTATCGTGACGGCCCCTTTATAGTATTCTTTCCGTCGCGTCGTTGGGTGGAATCGGCTCTGGCAGAAACCTGTGTGCATACCGATTCGAACGCGAAGGCCGTTCAATCGAGGACGCTCCCCTTGCACGAATTGACCCGTTCCGAGCGGAGTCAGAAGTGAAGTACTTCGCTTCGTGTCTACAAAAGTAATTTCGTCATCCTCGTCGTGTTTTAGTTCCTCATGTTCGTGAATCACGTACTTTGATGTGACTGCTTGCAATAAAATCTCTTGAGCTCTCGTCTCACCGATGGCTGGTTGATTCAGCTCGTCTTCGTTGTTTTCTTCGTAAACCTGTCGGCAGGCATCTGCAATCGGTGCGTCCCAAGCGTAATTTTGCATTCTTTCTTGAATCAGCATGGCGAACTGGATAGCATCGTTGGCCGTGTGAAATGCGACCGTGAAGCTATCGCCTTCGGTGATTACTTCGTAACCGTATGTCTGATGGATCGCCGATCGCATAATCTTATCGTGAACCGCAAGTGCTTTGTTCATGTGAACCGGCGCTGTGTGCCACAGCTTGGATGAAGCCTGGATATCTGTGACCACGATTGTCACTTCTTCGTCAGAAGGTGGATGCGAGCGCTTGTACTGATTCACGATTGTCTGTATGAAGAAACTCTTCGCAATCGATCCGCTAAAAATGAACAACATGGCCGCTGTCAACAACCCAAGGCCGATAGAAAGCGCGAGAACCAAAGGATTCATATTGAATCCAGAATCAGTCGTCGACGTTTGCGGGTTCAACACTGGAACACCGTCGCACGTCACGCTTCGCACGGTTGACAAAAACGTTTCCAAAGCTGACGAAGATGTAAATGGCGTTGAAATTCCTCGTTGTTGAATGACCGCCTGAACGCTCGTATCCGTACCCATCCATTCCAGCATGCTGAGGGTCGTATACAACGTCTGAAACTTCTTTCCTCGACAACCGTCGTCAGATGCTGTAGGCGCAACGTACACATCCAAGCTCATAGGTAGCAAACCATCTAGAGAACTTGAGGCGTCAATGTTGCCTTGAAAATGAGCAATCACGTCATTCCGAAGGAGTGCAACAGAGCCACTCGTCTCCACGAGGTGAGCCGCGACGGAGTCATACGATTCGGCTGAAATTTTTGGTGAACCAAGTGTGAACGAAGCATTTAGCGCTACGAGTTGGTCGATGTACGTTTTGTAAAACGAATCATTCTTGGGATTATTGATCCCCACGAGAACAATGGGCGCAGTCACCCCACTCAAGAAGGTATTCAACCGTACGATTTCCGCATGACCCCAAGTCGTCGCATCACCGCTGAGAATCGCTGCGGTTGCCGCCGCGTCGAGCGTAAGTGCGCTGCTGGTGGTTCCCATTTGGAGGACGCTTTTGTGTATGCCCAATCGAGCTTCCACCGCAAAGAAAGGAAGCCGCTTCAGTACCGCGAGCGGAGTGCCCACCGACACGAGTCCGATTCCGACACCATTTTCGCCCATTATGTTCTCAACAGCCTGATCAGCCGATGTTAATTCGTGCACGGTCAAAGTCTGACTCGAATTACGCCCTTCGAGCAAAGCGCGTAAGGATGCCAGAACTCTGTTCAACGAGCTTGGAGCAGTCACGCTCGCAGATGTGGAGGCGGATTCAACGACCGATTCTGACGTCTGGACGCGAGTCCCTTGGCAGTGCGTGTCGGCTATGAGTCTTGCGAGTACGAGTGCGCCGATTTCGTCTCGAAGAGGCGAAAATCCATAGTTCTGGGCGATGCGATACGCCTGCGCGCTAGATAGAAACCATCTCCAGAACGCAACCGTTTGCCTGACGTTCTGACAAGTCGCATTGGCGCGTAAACGATCAGACGTGGTGAAGTTCACCATTCCCGTTCGAAGTACGACGTACGTGTACGTCGTGAATGGCCAAGCGGCGTCGTTCATAAGCACAGGCGATATCGTCGCCGTCAGACGCGTCGGGCTATCGCCGTTGTTACCGAACTGTAAACCGCGCGCCTTGACAGCCTGAGAAATCGACTGGGGCGTCGGAAACACGGGTTTAAACGACCCGCTATGCATGTATCCCGCCATCGATGCGTTCACTGTGTTCGCATCTGCGAGAACTGCGTAACCCAACGAGTAATTCGTCGCCCGCACGTACGAAGCCACGCCGATGCTAGACGTGCGCTTCTCATAGCTCCCCATTGGCCAAATCGGTAAAGTCAAGTCGGAACCCAATCGTATCCCAAGATCGGTATCCATAGTTTTCAACGCCGTCGCGAAAACTTCCGTTGTACCAGAGCTGTCCGCGCGGACGACGACTTTGATGGCTTCGACGCTTCAGTCGCTCTTTGTCCGTTGAGTGGTTTAAGCTGTACCAAAATTTTCCAACCGGAACGCCGTCTCTTTCCCCATCATCTTCATGGTCCCATCGCGCGAGTGTGGCCACATCACGAAATCTCGGCAACTTGCCATCCAAGTGGTCGCGGACGTGCGCGCTCAAAATCTTCAACTTGCGCGCGGCGTCAACGATCAACTCAAACTTCCAATCGAGCCAGCAGCGAACACAATCTTCAAAAAGCGCGGAACATGCTACGCACAAACCGTCGCCTTGACGAAATGTCTGATTTTTATCAATTGTACCGATTCGCTTCTTTTTGATGCGAGAGTATCGGTCGAAAATCGGTTGAAACACGTCAATGACCAATGTGCCGACGAAGAACATACTGACAGTGCGACGGGCGACGGCGTGGTTGCACAGAACGCACTTCCGGTTCCCCTTCCCCGTGTTCGTCGCCTCCTCCGCCGGGTTCTCGTCCGCACCACCTGTCGGTTCGGCGCCACTCGTGCCCTGGCCCCCCCGCGCGACGCCATTGTCGCGTTTTTCAGCGAATTCCGTGTCTCCTGCGCCGTCGAACGCACCGCCGGCACTCGTCGAGTCCACCGCGCGCGCGTCGATCTCCGCGCGCCGTTTCGCTTGTTCCTCGTTCTGTTGCGCATCGTCACGCCCACGCTTCAGCGCGAACAACGCGCGAAACGCTTCAATCATCCTCCGTGATTGTATTACAATAGTTTCGGAAGTAGGAAACTATCAGTCGGTAGTCGTCAGCCGCACGCGCGCTTCGCTGAATGCCCTCTCCACGTCCCAGACGCGCGACGTCGCGCGTGGTGCCCAGATTTGTGACCGGGATCGATTTGCCTCGCTCGCTCCGTCATCTGTGCGCGTCTTGTCATTCGCGGAACGGACTATATTTCTGTTCTCGCTCACACGTCGTTCAGTACTCGGGCGGTCTTCCGAATCCACCGTCCGCGAGCGCGTGGAGACCGTTATTCCGAGCACCATTCACGTCACGATCAATGCTCAAATCGCAGACATGGCGTGACTACGCGACGCGCGAGCGCTCGCCCACGCATCTTTCCATCGCGCCACGCACGCGAAGCACACAAAGACAACGTGATGCACGCGAGTGTGTCGCGTCTCGGTTCGCACGTCGCGAGTTCGCGTCGCCGCGCGCGCGCGTGCGTCATCATCTCATTTCGACCATTTCGAACACCTTCGCCCTTGCGTCGCGCGCGCGAACGCAAACGCGTCGAGCATCACTCGTGCGCATTAACGCACGCATGGCTTACCCTCGAGTCGCGTTTGCGAGCTCTGGGCGGCGCTCGACGCGAGCGCGTTCTTAGGCAAACTTTGCATTTTCAACACACTTTGCATTTTGTCCCACATCATTTCCGCAGCCGACGCGCGTGCGCTCGGTCGGGACGCTCCTGAGGCGCGCGCACGCAATCTTCGCGATATGCGCGAACGCTGCGTCTGACGCGCCGAGGGAGCGGCGCGCTCGCGCTCGCGCCACGCCGTAACGAAATCGCCGGCATGGATTTTGCGCGCCACGTTTTTTGCGCCATAGAGGGAAAACATCATCGCCAGCGCCGGGGCGCGCGATCGACGTGACACACGTTCATACTCGCATCGATCACGGCTGCGTGTCCGCGCCTCGTGGCCCGTTCGTGAGCCCGTGTCGCGCATTCTCGATCTTGACATCTTTTGGGGACCCGCTCATGGCGGCACATCGGCGCGTCGACAAAACGCCCAGGTTCGTAGTGTCGCGTCAAACATACCATGTTCGCCGCGACGACGGCGTTCGGTGCGTTGCGGTCGATCTTGTGGCCGTAACGAATTCGCCGTCATTGGCGCATGCGCGTCATGTTTTTTGCGCTATTTTATGGATGGCGAATTACAATAGTTTCCTATTCAATGACATCTACGGGAGGGATTTGCATCGCTCGCTCCGTCATCTGTGCGCGTCCCGTCATTCGCGGGACGGACTATTTTTCTGTTCTCGCTCACGCATGTGTGTTCCAGTACTCGGGCGGTCTTCCGAATCCACCGTCCGCGAGCGCTTGGAGACCGTTATTCCGAGCACCGTTCACGTCACGATCAATGCTCAAATCGCAGACATGACATTCAAACGTTCGCTCAAACCCGAGATGCTCATCTCGCCACCCGCAAAAACCGCACGTCATGGGCGTCCCCAATTCAATCGCGCGTTCCGTCATCACGTACTTCCCATCGCGGTGCAACGGTGCAAGGGTGCAAGGGGTAAAAAACGGGGCAAGGGGTAAAATCACGTAAGTCGAATTACAATACGCCCCGTCATTCGCGGGACCTTAACTTTTTTAAAAAACATATCTTATCATATCATAGCGTTCAGAGAGAGCTGAGGTCGAAGTTATGTCGTTCTCGTTGTTTCGCAAGAGCGACAGCAAATGTAGGCTTCATGCGATCGAGCCACGCGTCGTCGCGTCGAATCCAATATTCACACGAGAGCATGTCGCCAGTCTCCGCATCGATCGAATAGAACACGAGCATCGCCATCGCAATGTCGAACACGTGCATCTGCGCCTGCACCTGGGGCAAATACGATTCGTATTTTTTCGTTGCCCCAGCCGGCGTGATCACGTCCATAAAATTGTGCACGAATTTCACTTCGACGATGATGCCCGTGGTCGTCAACCCGTCCAGCGTTGCGGCCAAAAACGTGGGATCCGATGGGAGCGCGCGCGTCCATTTGTCGACATCCTTCACGAAATTGAAGGAGTACTTTTTCGAGATGTGCTCCAGAGCGCTTGGCTCGAGCTCCACGCCGGCGCGCATGTACTTATTTTGGATGACTGGTCTCGTTGGAAATAAACTCCCCGAGAGCGACGACGCGGTGATCATCATCCTCCGCACGGGCGCATCGCTCGACGTGGTCTTTGGGAACAAAAACGAGTAGTCTTGCGACGTCGACGGGCGCCACACGTGGCCTCGATCCAGAGCATTTTGCGCGCGTTGGATGCCCACCTTGATCAAATCAGCCTGAGCGGTGCACTGTGCCAAAACCTCTGAAGTCAAATTCGGCGTGGGGTGCGGCGTCGCAATTCCAGCGAGGACCGCTCGCTCCGCCTCGTTTTTGGCCCGCAATGTCTTGAATTCCAATCCTCCTCCCGTAGTCCTTCTGATACCCTTCTTCGTCTTCGCCGCCGATGATCGTTGCTTTGCCGAACGCGACCATGCGCCGTGGAAACCGCAATCGAATAAAAAATCAATTGAGTGGTTCGCCGGGGCCTCGAGCTTTGTCAGTTGTTTCAGAAAATCCTCGTACGTCATCGTGGTCATCTCGTTCGTAAATTGGTTCTTTTCGGACAGGGCTGCAATTGCTTCGCGCTTCTCCGTGGTCAACGGCGTTTCAGTCGTCGCCAACAATGGCAAATCCCACGCGGCATCCGAAGGAAACAGCGGCGGGAACAGAGCCGCGCCTATTTTACCACGAAACGCTGCGCGAGAGAATCGACTGAGCGCGACGGATCCACACGACCCGCTCATGATGACGTGAATTATTCGTTTTGATCGAGCAAGTCCGTTTGAATACGCTCGAATATTACGGTACGTCGCTTGAGTGTTCGTAGAAGCAGTCCAGGCGCTTGTCAGCAATATCGCAAAGTCGATTGAAGGTAGATTGATGCCGAATCCCGCCGTTTCCGTTGTTGCGAACAGCACGTTATATTCACGTTCGTCGGCCGGCTCGTCGAACGACGCGATGATGCGGCGACGCTCGTCTTGCTTCGTGTCTTGATCGATGATCGCGCATTTTCCAGGTCCCAAAACCGCGATGAGGCGGGCCCACAAGTACCAGGCACCGCTCGCTATGTCCGACGGGACGTAGACGACGACGCCTTCGGTTGCCATCGTACAAATTAAGTCCACGATTGCTTCCACCGGAGCATCCATACGATCGCCGCTAGGCGGCTCGATTTGAAGTTCGCGCGTGACGCGCAACGCGAATGTGTCGGACAACTCGCACTTCGACACAATGTCAAGCACCTGGTGGGCACACCGGGTCCTGGCGGTGGCGATGAGTTGATTCCAAAACGAAGGCGGCTGCGTGAGCGGTATCGTAAGGACGGAGATGTCCTTCTGAACCCGAACGGCGAGCTCGTGCACGAGCGATGTGACCACGGTTGCATCTCGATCCTCGAGCGCGCGTCGTCCCACCGTCAGCTCGGCGCAAAAATCCGCCAACTCGGTCGCGTTCGTGTCATGACCCGTCTGGATGCCGTTCACCATGTTCCGCGCCGCGAGTTCAAATTTTTCCTTGAAGTCGTCGAGCTCATCATCGCGCACGACGCCAGTCAAACTGAGCAAGTCGGCAAGCTTCATAAATGTACTCGTGAACGGTGTGGCTGTGACAAGAATGCGAAACGGCTGATAGCCGTTCGCGACACTTTCACTGATGGCCGCGTGCATCGCGTTCGACTGGTCCGAGTACCTCGACGCCTCGTCAAGAATGATGACGGCATCTTCGTCCTCCTGTTGCGCAAGAGCGTCCGCGGCGTGCGTTTTGTGGATATCCATGTGCCCCGAGATAACAATTTCCAGGTCATAATCCCCCAAAAATTCTGGCCATAATTCCTCAAAAACGCGTTTCCACTCCGACGTGAGCAAATTTTCCGAAGCAATGACGACGCGCACACCGCACGCGAGGAGCGCACCCGCCAATAAGAGCACGGTGTGCGTCTTACCCAGGCCGCAGTCCATGACGAACAGTGTCCCCGGCGAACCCGAGCAAAATCGCTCGACCAGAAGCATCGCTGCAGCACGCTGGTGCGGGTAAACCTTGGTCGCCGCGACCGATTGGACGGCCTGCGCCAACGCATCCGCGAGCGGCGCTCGCCGCGCTCCCACCGATTCGTCAACTTTGACATTTCGCCATCGCGCGAGGCGATTGGACGCGTTTTCCGAATCGATTTCGTTATCATCATATTCTTCCTCGTCATCATCATATTCTTCTTCGTCATCATCATAGTAGTAGTCTTGCTCATCATAGTCTTCCGCGTCATCATTCTTTCTCGCCGCCGCCGCCGCCGCGCGTCCGTTCCGCCGCTCCGCCGCCGTCCGTCGCGCCCGCTCCGGCCCGCTTCCGAACGCCGCCTCCGCGCTTTCCGTGTCTCCTGTGCCGTCGAACGCACCGCCGGCACTCGTCGAGTCCACCGCGCGCGCGCCGATCTCCGCGCGCCGTTTCGCTTGTTCCTCGTTCTGTTGCGCATCGTCACGCCGACGCTTCGGTGCGAACAACGCGCGAAACGCTTCAATCATCCTCCGTGATTGTATTACAATAGTTTCGGAAGTAGGAAACTATCAGTCGGTAGTCGTCAGCCGCACGCGCGCGTCGCTGAATGCCCTCTCCACGTCCCAGACGCGCGACGTCGCGCGTGGTGCCCAGATTTGTGACCGGGATCGATTTGCCTCGCTCGCTCCGTCATCTGTGCGCGTCTTGTCATTCGCGGAACGGACTATATTTCTGTTCTCGCTCACACGTGTGTGTTCCACTACTCGGGCGGTCTTCCGAATCCACCGTCCGCGAGCGCTTGGAGGGAGACCGTTATTCCGAGCACCATTCACGTCACGATCGATGCTCAAATCGCATTCATGGCGTGACTACGCGACGCGCGAGCGCTCGCCCACGCATCTTTCCATCGCGCCACGCACGCGAAGCACACAAAGACAACGTGATGCACGCGAGTGTGTCGCGTCTCGGTTCGCACGTCGTGAGTTCGCGTCGCCGCGCGCGCGCGTGCGTCATCATCTCATTTCGACCATTTCGAACACCTTCGCCCTTGCGTCGCGCGCGCGAACGCAAACGCGTCGAGCATCACTCGTGCGCATTAACGCACGCATGGCTTGCCCTCGAGTCGCGTTTGCGAGCTCTGGGCGGCGCTCGACGCGAGCGCGTTCTTAGGCAAACTTTGCATTTTCAACACACTTTGCATTTTGGCACACATCATTTCCGCAGCCGACGCGCGTGCGCTCGGTCGGGACGCTCCTGAGGCGCGCGCACGCAATCTTCGCGATATGCGCGAACGCTGCGTCTGACGCGCCGAGGGAGCGGCGCGCTCGCGCTCGCGCCACGCCGTAACGAAATCGCCGGCATGGATTTTGCGCGCCACGTTTTTTGCGCCATAGAGGGAAAACATCATCGCCAGCGCCGGGGCGCGCGATCGACGTGACACACGTTCATACTCGCATCGATTCCTGCTGCGTGTCCGCGCCTCGTGGCCCGTTCGTGAGCCCGTGTCGCGCATTCTCGATGTCATGAGCTCATGGGCCCATGGCTCATGAGCTCATGGGCGACCCGCTCATGGCGGCACATCGGCGCGTCGACAAAACGCCCAGGTTCGTAGTGTCGAGTCAAACATACCATGTTCGCCGCGACGACGGCGTTCGGTGCGCTGCGGTCGATCTTGTGGCCGAAGTCCAACAAAATGATGCCCACGTCGCCGTCGTCGACGGCTGCGGCGGCGTTGGAGGTGTGCGCATCCGACCCGTGCGAGGACGACGGCGATGACGAGAGCGCACGTCTGGAGCGCATCTACATGAGTTCGAGTCCACGCGAGCGCGCGGACGCGTTCACGTGGGCGATGGCAACACCGCCGCCGTCGTCGACGCGCGGGACGGCCGATTCGTCGCTGTTCGAGGCTTTGGTAAGGAATTTTGACGACACCGATCGAGCAATGGCGCGTAAACCTGGTCCGGGCTACGTACGGACGCATCGCGGTCTCGTTGATGAGCGGCGGTACGCACTCAAACCGTCAGAGCGCGAGGAGTTCGCACTTGGCGCGCGAATCGTCGGCGTGTCCACTGGGCGCGTTCACAAGTCGAAGACCGTCGAGTGTCGCCTCGACGTCCGCTTCGAGCGCGCGCGTGGTGCACGAATCGACGTGTATTGCGAATCCGTACCCGTGGCTGATTTCATAGCGGGCAAAATTGGTACCAAGCGGCACGGCGAATTCGTCGCCGACGCGCAAACGCCGCCGCTTCGCGCCGAAATGTGCGAACGCATCTTCAAGCCCATCCGGGCTGCTCTCGACGAAAACGGCTGGGAGAAGAACGGTTCGATTGACCTGTTTTTCAACGCGCAAACAAACTTTTTGCCCGCGGGGCACGTGAACCTTTCCGGATCGTTGCGCGAATTTGTGGCGCAACACCTCGACCCCCTCGACGGGGCGAGATTCGCCGTCGTTTCATTCGACGCCTCCACGGCGCGGCACCGATTGCGCTGGGACTCGGACGAACTCGCCGCGCGTGCGCCGTGGCGTGTGATCCGATTTGACACGGCCGAGCTCGTGGACTTGACGTCGTCTGAGATGCGCACCATGTGCTTGTGGCGCGCCGGCGCGCGCACGGATTTCATGACGTCCGCCATGAAACGCATCGCACGGTATGAACGATCAAACGCGTCCAAGAGGAGGCACAACAAACGTAACGTCCAAATCTTTTTGCAAAGAAAGGTGCGAGATCAATTCGCGCAAATGAACGGTGCGCTCGGATTAGCCGTCGCTCGGCACGTCGTCGAGATTGGCGCCGGAAGCGCGCTGTCGAGTTGCGAAATCGCAGCGGCGTCGGCTAAAACCGTCGATGGACGCGCCGTCGTCTGTTACGCACTTGACCCGCATATTCGGTCACTTGCCCATGACTCGGCGCGTAACAACCCAAGCGTCGTGCTTGTCGAGCAATGCATAGAGGACATAGACGTGAGCAGGATTCCTCCGATTGGCGTTGTGCGATTCGTACTCGCCGCTCCCGAATGCGCCGCCGTGTCCGTCGCCGCGGCGCCGCACTACGCACATCTTCGTGAAAGATTTGGCGACGCTTTCGGCGATCTCATTCGCGCGTGCGCCGTTCGGCTCACGAGCGCCATGACTCGGTCGTGTGTTGACTTCATCAAATACGTGAACGCGCCGGCGGTGATTGAAAATCCAAGTGGTAACGTCAAAGCTGGGCTCTTTAACGAGCGAATTCCATTTTATGGATGGCGCTTACGAGTCGTCGATACTTCGTATTGCAAGTACGACACGCGTGAGGATGGTTTGTTTAGAAAACACACCACATTAGTCACCAATGTTCCACATTTGGTATTGAAGGCGCCGTGTTCGCGCGCGCATCCGTGCCGGGACGTGCGAAACAACGGACGCCATGCGCGGCGTTGTTCGCACACGGGAGCTACCCGGGCTGAGTCAAAGCTCCATCCGCCGGCATTGATACGCTCAATCGTGGAGCAAGTTGATGTATTCATTGATCGCCTTTCCAGTGCGCACTTCACGCGCGATGAAGACGACGACGCCGAGGAGCGCGCTGGAGCGCTCATCGATGCCGCGACGCTCCCGCGCGACGATGAACTCGTCGACGCCATGCGCGGATGCAAGGCGGCGCGTCGGTCAATTCAAGGCATAGAGCGTATTGTTTGCCGCAAATTACAATAGTTTCCTATTCAATGACATCATCGGGAGCGATTCCCACGCGTCGTCGCGTCCGAGACAATGTGGGCACCGCGCGTCGTCGAGCGTCACTGGATCGCGTCCGAGGTCGAGATCGCCACGTCCGCGCGGGCGTGTTCGGCACCATGCCACGTAGGCCCGCGGAAGACACCGAGCAATGGCGGCGCGTGGTAACGGAGCTCGTAGACGTCGTCGTCGATGCGTTACTGGACTACGCGCCCGACCGCGCGATGGAGGATGTGACGGATGAGGAGATCAAGGCACGCGGGATCGTGGCGCTGAGAGATCGGAATGCGCGACAGAACGGCGCGCGCGTGGACGCACCGTCGCAATGGGGCTGGGGGAAGAACAGATGGATATTCATCGTGCGGCAGGAGCTCTGCGGGCGCGCACGGCGCGGCACGCGGCGACGGTCGGATGAAGCAGCCGCTGCGTTTCTCGCCGCGCTCCCGGCGCGGGGCGAACCGCGACGGAATCCGCCGAGCGAGGCGCCGGCTCCGACGCCGCAACGGTTCCGTGATGACAAGAGCCGAGATCACCCGGGATGGCAGCTCTTCAAAGGCGTTTTCAGCGACTCGGACGTGACGCGGTTGCTTGCGTTGAAGTCAAAAGTGAAGGCTAATGAGTGGGCGCATCTTTTCAACAGC